AGAAATCTTAAAGAAATCTCTGGCATTTAATTTATAATTGTAGCAATTCTATCTATTCTCGTATCCTCGATAACGGCCAAGGAGCAAATTATAGACCTACACAAGAAACAGAATTAATACACAGCAACCTGATGCAAACGAGGGAAAGTCGTCAGATGTTGATCAATGCAATAATAATCAAGCGAAGTAAACTTGACTCCGTTGAAAGTCGGGGCAAGATCTGACATTAAAACGAGGAGGGACGCGAACTTTGTTCGCGAGCGACGTGATAAAAATTTCAAACAGAATACATTTTGCATGGTTTGATGCCAGGTTTGACGCCATTCGCGCGAGGAAGAGACGAGAATAGAAGACGAGGAAGGACAGCAACTCTGCTAGCGACTGCTAATTTCCCTTCCTGTCTAACTGCCTGGCAGTCGTCCACTTATTGATCTCGATAGGATTATCTCGGAAATGTCTCCCTCGTTAGATCACATTAGTTTCTCGTTTATCTTCCTGACGAATCATATTCGTGTCATATTCAAATGTTTTTCAATAGTTTATTTTAATACACTAAACACAGTTACTAAACTATAATTGTTTCGTTTTAAAATAGAACCCTAGATTGAATTTTCAATAGAAAAAGAAACGAATCTCATTAATGTCAATCTGACAATTTACTGTCTACTATAAATTTCTTATGTTTACAAGATTGTATGCCTAAATCGTACCATGATTTCACTTATCTACACTTTTTAATTCAATAAGTGCAGGCATATACAACTGAAGGCCAGCTTGTTTCTAAACTTTTAATGTTAGTCTACCGGAGGATGAGAGCAGACCATGCTCCGGTTACACAGGCTTTTAATCCAGCAACGACTGAAATGCATCCAGCTGCGCAGGAACGCAGTCAGGGATATACATATTTAATAACAGAAATGCATAACAATGAGCACTCCTTTAGTTACTGAAGCGGCCGCTTCTTCGCGAGGTGCTACTACTATTCTGTTTTGCCTTTCCGCGTCATGATCCCTTTCGCGTAAATTACTTCTCTCCGTCAGGTCCTCGCGTCGCCTTTCTTTCCCTTTGATCGTTTTTCTTAGATCTGATAGCTTCTACTCGTCTACTTTTGTCACTTTGAAGTAAGGAATTCAACGCGAAAAGTAACGTAAGTAATTATTGCGTGTAAATTATCTATAATGTATACCGGCACTTAAATAAAAGAAAATTGGTTTTTTAGTAGTAATAAATTTTTTTGTTCAACAATTCTTATTGTGTTATTTTATATATTGCATGTCAAATAATATTGGATTGGAATAAGGTTATTGTATCGGTAATGTTTTAAAAAAATTTGGAAAGCTTCAATACGTTGTGAATTCTATATGATGAGAAAAAATGATGAAAGTGGTCACTTTGTTGAGATTAATTTTGCCTCGGACTGCTTTAACGGTAGTCTCGATAGAAATTTGCCAGGAATTTCCATTATCGGCCAGACCTGATTTCGTGCCTGGCATAACATCCCGGCTATGAACGCGTTGTTTCGCGTTAATTCGCCGCTACATGAAACTTTCTGCTAGCCAATAACAGAAGATATCAAAGAATTTGAAGGTGCACCTCGATCCAGTAAATACTTTTGTTTTGATTGATAAAAACTCGGTTTATTGATTTCCAATCGTAAAAATTACATTCTGTAACAAAAAAAATTGAACTGGTAAAGATGAGTCGGCATCCACCGCTTTAGCTAGCAAATATTTTCATTCATCTCTTAAAACATCAATACTCCTTTCGAATTTCCCGGAAGCATCTGCATAGCACTTTTCAATCGCGTTGCTGACGAGACAATAATATGTACTCTCTGTGAAAGTGTTGTATAATGCTACACATCGTCCATTCAAATTTGCATAAACATTGTGTGATCGGAACGCGTATGTGCAACAAACAGTACGCGCTACATTTCAATAATGAAAATCATTAGATTTTATCAGATAATGTTATCAGAATAAAAACTTACGTATTTTTAAACCTAATAGAAATCGTATTGAAAATATATATTCATTCGCCTATTGATTCAATGTAATTTAAGAAACAAGCATGATATATCCGTATTCAAAAGGAACGATTCAGCTATTAAAGTCGGGCTATTTTATGTATACTTAATGACGTCATTAAAGTCAAGACACAAGAAAAAGACCGTCGTTCATCTTTCTCGACTATCGAGCTTGATTTCACTTGCACGAGACGTGATCAATCGGCAAGGAAACGAGGCAAATGAAAATTCCTGACGAATGATCGGCCGGCCGGGACTCTGGGCTCAACCAGCTGTGTGACGCGTTTCTTTTTTATCCCTCTTGGTTGAATCGAATCGGAAACACTTCATCAGAGCACGCGATGCCGCCGCTTCTTGCGCGTTTCACGATCCATTACACCCTCGTTAATTCATTGTAAGAAGTGTCAGGCATGGACTCGGCCAAAAACCTCACCGGCTGTCGTGCTACTCGAGTCCAAATTTCGTTACATTTATCTGGCATGGTTTTTACTCATATATACATATCTACAGAGATATATCATCAAGATAAATACATAATGGAAGAGTATAATGAAAAGTCTCTGCATGTCTCACAAAAAAAGTTGAATGTTTTTGTAAAACAAGAAGTATTTTGTTTGATATATATTATAGTACTGCAAATATAAAAGTGATCAATTTACATTATTGTATGTCTTGTATTTTATGAATCAATTTTCAATTTGCACGAAATATGAAAGATTTGTTGAAATCTCGTATTTCATAGATCAGCATTCGCATTTGAGTTCTGCTCCACGCACAGACACGTGCCTGCGTCTGAAACAGCGGCGTATCTCCGGGTTCGTGTTTCTTGCGTGGCCGATCTCGTTGCTCAACTATTCATGCTTTGAGACGCGATATTAAGGCTTCAATTAAACGGGACCGTGCCTCGCTTGGAAACTAATATGCCATTGGGTAACTTTGAAGGATTCAAAACGGCGCACGGACATAGCTAGCGAGCACTACAGGGAGAGGTTGCTTCCGGATGAAACTGGGTTCATCTTTCCCTCCCGCACGTTCATCGTATTGATGCTGAAGGAAGTCGCAGATTATGTGAATTCGTGGCGCAAAACCGTGTCTGATAAACAGGAGTGACAACTAATTCGCGGAAGAATCTAATGAGACAGTGCGAAGATGCAAAACTAGAAACATGTGAAATTTCTTAACACAATACATAAACTGTGTAACATGAAACCAATTAAAATTATATAATACAGTGTACATTATCCACCTTTTTCTTTTAATGTAAGTACTCTTGCATTATAAAATTATTACCCAATACATGAAATTTAAAAAATGCTGCATCAAAAAACTACTTTGTGAGAATATTTTCAGAGATTCATTTCTTAGATATTTTTCTAATCGTCGGTGCTTTGAATAGAAAGCGCGACCCGGATTAACGGCCGATTTCCTTAAGCGACCTGCTCCGCGAGATACCTTTCAAAAGCATTTACGCGAACGAAGGAAATGTGTAGATAAATAACATGTACTTATATATGGGAATCAGAGCATCATTTTTCCTTTCGCGTCTATTGTGAGAACGATTCGTTTAATATAACATTCCGTGCCGCAAGAAGGTAAGGCGCGGCGGTAGCAATTGAAAAGAGAATCGCGAGGAACGATGAAGTTTTAATGATATCCGTCTGTGCTTTCGGTTCTCGCGCTCGACGTTCCTTTCCTACTTGACGCAGATGGTAACGGAGAAATATAATAGTTAAAATCGTCAAACTTCTTCTTAACGCCAAATCGATCACTAATTATTTCAATTTCGTACTACTTTTCTTCTAAAGCGTGGTGGCTCGTTCTATAGAATAAATTAATGCAAACATGAGAACGTGAGAACTCGTAAAAAGAATTCTGCGATGAAAGAATAAAGTAGAAAGTATGCAAATCGCGTCATTTGTCACTACGATCACGGTTGAAGTTTTTCTGCAAACTTCCCTGACATTTTAACATTGTCTACATAAAAGTGCACACTCTCAGCGAAATAAACATGAATGTGGCACGCCCAAAACGTTAATCCCGTTGAATCATTTAATTACTGCCGAAACCATTTTATATATTTTATACGTAATTCAAAATTAACACATATTTGAGATTCCTTATAGTCTTTACCATATTAAATATGTTTTGAATTTTTATTAAATGTATTCTGTTCTACTAATACAATCTCTTCGTTTTTAGAATCCAACATTTTTTTACTTGCGAAACATTTGATTCAATTTTAATTCTTTCTTTGAAATTAATATTATGTACACTATTTTGCTCGCTGTTCTTCTCTACTTTACAACTTTACAACAAAAGTACGTACAACTCAGCTATGGAATAAAGCACTTGTTTCAGTCTGAATTTGAAACGTACAACTCAGGAAATCCCGTTTATTCGCGAAGCTAAAATCATCGCCGCCATCAATCTTGGAATAAATCGTCGGTTGGTGAATCGGAAAGCGCGACTTGCGACGTGACGAGTTCACGTGGAATCGGTCGCCTTCACCACGACGCGTGAACTTTCCACGTTAATGTCGCAATTTCCGGCTGCATTATGCGGAACGCATCGGCGCGTACACGCTTCGGAAGCTGCGGTACAGTCTGGGACACAAGATTCTGGATATCTTTTCTATCTAGCAAGAAGACAACTGTGATAATCTATATGTACGTTGCGTGTGCTGCGTTTTTTAATGCGCCTGTGTGTTTAAAGTGTAAAATAAGAATGGTTCGTTTGATTAAAAATTTATGAAATGAAACACAAAGATCAATATGATTCTGTTGCACTCGCATCCAGTTTCTATTTTATTATATATAATTCGTCAGTGGAAAGAATAGAAAAATCTAGTCTAGCCTCTCTGGTTAAGAACAGATTTAGAAAAAACTATGCTTTTAAGTCAAGAATGAACAAACGAGAAACGAGTTAAATTAAATCAAGCTAGTCCAGGAAAATTGGAAGTTGCAAAAACATTAAGTTTAGAAGTTGATTATTTTTTTACTAAATCCACATTACATTTTTATGTTTTCCTGATCAGTACGAGTCAATTTATAAAGGTACTTATCTCTGTACAGAAATATCGTATCCATATTTTTATATTTCATACTCTAAGTGGAATCCGAAGGTTCTACTTTTAAACCACGTGTAAATAATATTGCGATACGGCAGGCGGAAAATCATAAAGTTAACCCGACGCGAGAAGTGTGCAGAGTCTCGTGTCTGGTCGGCCTCTCAAATTCTCTTATTTTCTACTTTTTCTCAGTTTCTCAGCGATCGATCTGTAGAAGAGGAAGAAGAGGAGGCATCGAAGGAAGGGAAACGCGAGCAAACACATTTATTTTTCAAGGCCGAAATTTATGTATGATGCCGGCACGATGGATGCCATGCCAAGATAGGATTCGTGCTCATCGTCGGACGCTATCGATTCAAACCCAAACCAATGCACAGTGTAACAAGCATATAAAAAGTAAAAGTGTTATTTGCACTATATTACGATGTGTGTCCCCAAAAACTATTGTGAAACATCAAATTAATGACGATATTTAATTCCGGTCAATGTTACATTTCGCCGATTCGGCAGGCATACGTAAATGTCTTATTAAATTGAAAAATAAGAAAAACTTTATGCACTCTTCATGTTTCCAAATGATAAAGATACTGAATTAGAGGATTATATATTTTCTGTGGACTCTCTTAAGAAATGTGACACTAAATAAAAAATTCTGGATTCATGTAGTGAATTCTTTAAAAATTTTAACGAATTTTAAATACATTTTTTTTCTATTTCCATCCTTCAAATAGTAGATAGATATTGAATAAGAATCGAGCTTTGATCTCCAAATAATTTAAGTGTGAAATTTCTGTATCCGGAAATTCCGTCGTTTGAAATGAGAGAAGAAGACGTGAAGGACGAGACGAACATTCGCCTGCACCCATGTTTGGACGGGAAGTAGAGGAACAGAAGTTGGACGCGACGCTACGCAGTGTCAGCTTGAAAAGGCAAACAACGAAGGGAAGAGACTTAACAAATATGAACTGGAAAAGCTGAATTATGGCCGCACGGTTTTCAGAAACGTTGATTTATCGTATTACAGTTTACTGTACAAATCTTACAGTTACTGAAAGATATTCCACGGGCAAACAGACGTTTTTAGTAATTAACGTCGATAAGGCTGAACAAACGTGGAGTCGAGCAGAACAGATAATCTATGCGTAACCTAGTTCTGACCACTTCTTTCAATATCCTTACCCTCGTTCTAAATTCGTCGAGGACAGGGAATTAATTAACCCAGTGAACCAAACAAAACCGACACAGGCATCCTGCGAAAAAACAACTCTGCTAACGCTGGGTACTATTCCGATTTTTCGATAGGGTTTTGTCGATTCATTCCGAGCTTCAAATAAAACGACGACGACGATTACGACAATAACCAGAGTCTCGAGAATCTTAATTGAACACGCGCCAGAAGAGGCTCGAACTCGAAAGGGAATCGATCTAAAAATACAAGTAGTGTACGATGCATGCAACACAGAGAGACTGGCGCTGGTCTTGCAACTAACCTTGGCGAACCTCTCCTGCGTGTCGAGGATCTCGATAAACAGCGATACCTTATCGTCCACTATCTTGAAGCCGTTCCGTGGCTGTGCCAGCAGCTGTTGTATCGCTTGCGAGGTTGTGAGCGGCGTCGCCGGGCTGGTGGCAGGCGTCGAGGTTCTGGTTCCGGTACTGCTGCCGGTGCCGCCGGAGCTGCTGTTGTGCAGATGAGTGCATCCGAGGAAAATCGGGTTGCCGTTCGGCGAGACGCCACAATTAAACGGTCGGAATGGTAATCCGTGAAACGTGGGACTCGGTCGGGGCGCGTTCGCTCGAAGCAAAGACTGAGCAGACGGCAGGGAGAGACGCCGCGTGGCTGTGGTCTGGTTCTGCTGCTGTTGACCCTGCTGCGTCTGCTGCTGAGATCTCGAGGGAGACTTGAGAATCTGATAATCGCTGGCGGCGGATGGCAGGGATCGATAACCGGAATCGGAAGGCGAGGCGGGCGGCATCGGAGCAGTTTGCGGCGTACTGGCGATGCTATGAGGCCTGGATCGAAGCCCAGCGCCCGGCGTCCACGTGTTCGAATTACCGGGATTCGTTAGAATGCTCAGAGCGGGCCCTTGTGACGTGGGCGTGGGTGGCTGGGGATGTGGCAGGGTCGAGGCGTACGCCCTGCGAGGTATGGGTTGGTGCAACACCATTCCAGAGGAGCCCCACTGTAGAGGCTCGCCGCCGCCGCCGCCTGTTGTACGAGTGGACGATGATACGCCGGTTGCTGATGTTGCTGAACCTGCTGCAGACATGCCTGTTGAAGTTGTAACGGGTGTCGAGGCGATGCTGTGTGGCCGCCTAGGTACAAGTTGTTGCTGAAGTTGCCCGTTCCATAGAGACTGGGGTGGTACAACGCTGCGAGTCGTGGGTCCCACTGTACCGTTGACGGATGGGGCACCGTTCCCGCCGTTCCCGCCGCTGCCGCCCCGTGGTTCCTGTTGACCGTTGACACCATTGATGCCGCTGCCATTGTTGTTACCACCGTTGGAGGGTAGAGATACTGGAGTACCGGCGACCGAATGGGCGCGCCGTTGTACCAGCCCTGATACAACGGCAGCTGAGCTTGCTGCGCCAACGTTGCTGCTCCACGATGACGGTGTTGTTGCTCCTGTTGGTGTGCCTGTTGATACGGTTGCTGATGCTGCTGCTGGTGAGGATGGTAATGTTGACGTTGCGTTTGCTCGGCTACCGAGCTGACCAAGGGAATGGTGGACATTTGCGACATGGAGGTATGGTGGAGCGGTAATACTATGAGGACGCCTCGGTGCTGTTGGCTGGGGTAGACCGTTGGGAGTAGAGCGAATTTTATTTGCGCCGGATGCTGGTATCGGGGCTGGTGGGGTGTACAATGGGAATCCGTGACCATTGTGACTCGGGCTGCGGGTGGGCAGCTGGTTGATCGGTGACGATTGTACGCTGTTACGTTGCTGCGTTGTTGGTTGTTGCTGCTGCTGCTGGTGCTGGTGTTGCTGCTGATGCTGCTGTTGGTGATGATCATTGACGAGGACCCCGGTCGCTCGACGTGTGATAGCGGGGGCGTGTGTTGGGGCCGGTGGGGGCGGGGGTTCCAGCAGATTTTCAAGTTCTGCAGACAGCGACCACGTTGAAGATAATGCTGATAGTGGTGGTACTGTTGGTAGAGCTGGTAGCTGGACGGCGGCGTTGGTTGCTGAATTGCAACCAGCGGGCTCTGTACTGTTGACTGCGCCGGCAGGACTTGGCGAGGCGGACTTGTTGACGACGCGTGTGACGCGTTCACCGCCGACGACAGCGGTGACGTGCTGTAGATGACGATCATTCAGACTCGCGCGTCCGTTAACATTGCGATAGAAACCGGGACCCGGCGCTAGATTCAGGCTGGTCGGCTTCTGTTTCACCCCGCCGTTGGGCTGCGGAGACGAAGCGGGTTTCGGTTCGCCCATTTGGCTATTAGCAGCGTCAGGACACGACCGATTAGGTGCCCGGCTGCGCGATCATCTTTGTGTCGCTTCTTGCCAAATATAAGACTCTCTCAAGCCTAAAAAATCTCTGTTTCCTCAAAATTTGAACGCGTTTAACAGTTTGTCTTTCAATTTTCACTAATTCCACGTAGTCCACGTGGGGTACCCCGTTAGAGAAAGTAAAACGATTAAAGCGTTTTATCAGGGACGATATCCAAGACGGATTGCCGAGTTTCAATAAGTTGCTCGTCGTTGTCCCTTGGTTCTTGAGCAGTACGCGAAGGAAAAGGTTGTGCACATTTCGCGCGCGACATGTTGGCTCACGCGCGAACAAATCGATAAACTTCTTGCTGTCGTCTACCGTTCCACGTTTAAACGTATGCACACCCGTGCGTATCGTCGAGTCAACGACCGATCTCTATTTTCATTTTTCTGTAGATCGCGTCAATTCTTTCATTCCTCCTTCCTTAGTCTTCTTCTAACACTCGAATGTTTTCAGTTCCAACGTTTCGCGCGATGAAGCGATACTCTCGTTATTTAGGCTCAGTGTTCGTTTGTTCTCGTTGCTTGAATCGATATAGGCCGTCGAAGCTTTGTTCCGTATCGCCAGTGATCGCTAGAGATCGTATAATATTTCGAAATAACATTTGATTAATTGTATACTGGAGACCGTTAATTCAACACTCGGAATTCTCGCGCGAATCGATCGTTATTAATTACTACCCGATTGTTGCCCGGATTAAAGTGCGAACTCACGACCATTATTATATTTAGAGTGCCGGCTCGTTAACCGAACGGTGTTCCAGCCAGAGAATTCAATCTTCTCGCTTTGCAAACATATCTCTCTCTCTCTCTCTCCTTCTCTCCTTCTTTCTCTCTCTTTGGGATGTTCTCCGTTTTTCTCTTTCATTCGATAAATTTATTTCTTCCTTCTTCTTAACTGACTTTACACTGACCGTGAACAACGGTATATATCTCTCAAATATATTATATATAGATATATCTATGTAATATCGAAGATTCTTGTAGAATAAATTTTCACTATAACGACAACGATCACTAAATCCTCTAATAATGACTTTTAATAGAACTTCGATCTACGATGACTGTGGGATTCTTACATTTTGAAGTGGATTTGACGAATTTTCCTCTATGTTAACAACTTTCTTCTCTGTTTTCACGCTACTAATTCTTTTCTACCGATAACGAATCGCTACAAAAATCGTTAGGCCCGTCGTTGGAATTTATCCGCGGGAACACGTGGTCGAATGATCAAAACACCGGCAATCGACGACGCGCATTTCTGACGTGAACAACACACCATAGAAAAAGAAGCTTGCTCATATCGTTAGCTTCACCAAACAATCTCGACGATTTAGTCGAGTCGTATCGATGTTTAGGTTTCGTTGAACATCTCGTGGCAAACAAGTATCGCGGATAATCGCGGACGCGCGCACTGAACACCAGCCACCACCCGGATCGACACGCAGCGACCGATTTACTTGCACGAGAATGTCCTAAATGCGAACCAACTTCCCTCTTTCTTCTTTTCTGTTCAACTATCACTATCGTGCTTGCCGGATCGCCATCGCGAAAGGATCGACGATCTGAATCCTACGATCCTCCCGATGTTTGTTTCCATGTTCTTCGAGTTCTTAATAACAAATCCTCGCGGAGCAAGTGGAGTCTTTAACACGGTCTGCGGCCACTGTGCGTGTAACGCTCGTCCCGTTTCACTCTCGTCGTCCGAGCGTAGTATCCGAGCTTAGGCCAGTTCGGTGTCGCGAACATGGTTCCGGGAGGCGAGTTCCAGTAGCACTTCCGGTCGGAGAGCAACTGAACGAAGCAACTGACGATGGCCGCGCGCGATGCGTCTTCGCCGGTGGTAACCGCGTGAGTTCAATGTGCGCGGGTCAGGAATCGAAGAGGGAAGTTAGGGACAGGAGGTCAGTCGGGTGAGACTGACGCGTGGCTGCCGTGCCGGGGGCGGAGTGGCGTGTTCCTCTTTGGAATACGGCGGGATTCGAGCCGCGAGCAGCCACACGCCTGCGCCATGCGACTTACTCAGCTTCTCTCTCTTCCATGGACGTCGTTCTCCCCGGAGAGCATCTTCCTCTAACCCGTTCCTCTCCCTCTTCCCACCCACTTGTCCTCTCTTTTCGCTGTTCCCTCAGGAACATAGGTACGGCCCTGCTCTCCTCTCACCTTCGTGGTCCAGTCGGCGAGCCAACTGTCTTCGTTCCCTTGTCTGCTACTATCTTTCCCTCTCTCACTCTTCTTTTCCTAACACAGAGAGGGCTGCGATACCCTCCGTCAATGTCGGCGATGAGGACGACAACGAACGCAGGCCGATCCTCTCGCGCCTTGTTTCTTCTAGCCGCTAAGCCGATGACACGCAACCATTTCTCTCCAACGAACTACCGGAGAAGAACGAAGAGAGTAGAAGAGGATCAGCGTCGTCGAAAAGGGGCGCAAAAAACGCGATGAAGAAGGAGACGAGTTTGCTTGTATTTTCCTTTGAGGACCAGACTCTGATGGTAGACTGGAGAACGTTCCTTCTCTTTGCTCCGTCCAGCGTACGCGCTCTGTTTCCCCCGTTTCCTTTGCTTCTTCCTCTTCTTTTCTTTGCACTCTTCACACGGCTGAGTTTTTTCGAACAGGATCATTGTAACCATTAATTCCGTCTCATTGATCCATCCTTCGGTTTGCGTCTTTCGCTCAGGAATTCTTTTCAATGTCGTTTTTCACTCCGGTTTCTAATTACAACGAGTGAACGAGTTATTGCGAACGTTACGATATTGTCACTCCTTTCGACATTTCGTTGGTTCAACAATTAAATGATGTGATCGATCTTAATTCATCGTCAAATGAAATATTATAAAATTAAGTGAAAATGGCGTACACACAGCTAGACAAATGATTATTTTTCAAGCATTTTCTTTAAATCTGTTTCATTTATTCATATTCCTTACTTTCATTTCAACCTTCCACTAATTCGCGATCTGAGTATGTAAGGCTGACCAGCTAGCTGCTAGAGAATCGCACGAATCAATGATAACGGTGCAATTATCGTTGACGTCGCGACGTCTGACAATAAGAAAACACGTTCACCAGGAATTATAGAGAGACATCCAGAAATCCCATATCCTCGTTGATGGGTACGCCATATTTGCGTAGGTTATTGGGTCATTCACCTTGCAATAGTTCCTGTTTTATGGACACCGTAACTGGTAACACCGATGGTGTATATTTTAGGATCACTTGCCAGTCAGTGAAATTATTCCACGGTCTGCTGAATACTTCATCTATTCGGATTGATTTCCGAAAATGAAATAAATTAATTAAGTATCGGTATATATTTGCAATTTGGTCTTCGTTTAATTTTGAAAAACTGAGTACAATTTAAAGGACATGTTAATAAATATGTTTTAAGGAGAAGATTACGATCTATTTGGGTTACCGGTGCAGGACCAAAACGAAATGTTTTATATTGTGTAAAAATTGTACGTAATCAGTAATCAGCGACGAAATGTTAGAGAATCGACGAAGAGAGAACGGTGGAATAGCAGTGAGTTATTTGCGGGGGCCGCAGTTGCTCGGGCGTACGCGTAAATTTGGAAGGGGAACGTTTGCATAGTCGCAAGATACACGGAACAACCACGACCGGAGGAGGTAAAGTAGATTAGGAGACACGTTTGCAATGAAAGGACCGAGTAAATCGACGTTGAGAGAAACGCGGCCAGTGGACACTGAAATTTCTTAATTCTTTTCATCAACAGAGTTTATCCGCGAATCTACGTCCGACAGTGGCAAAGTTTTAAAAGAATACTTTTTGGTACTTCAGACAGTTCTATTTTATTGCATAAATTATAATCTCTCAGGATAAAAAATTCTAAAGACGAAATGCGTAAAAAATAAAATTATGAGTCGCAGTACTTTAATTAAGTTCTTCTGTCTCTACTTGCAATGAAAAGGTAGTTGGGAACAAATCAATTCTACGTTCAACGGCCGGGAGGAACGATGAAATTAAATGATAAGAAACAGAATTTCTTTTTTCAGCCACTTTCTTAAAATACGAAATTTTTGCTGTAGTTTAAAACAGCTAAGCAGAAAATAATGAGAAAATATACTGAACAATGAAAATATATCTGTTGAAAGACGTTAGAAGATCACGCCGCACAGATACGTCTAGAATCATTTAACTTGTAATCATTTTCAAGTATTATTAAATTAGATAGTCTCTATATCACTAGCTATGAAATTATTGAACCACAATCGAAACTCTATCTAAGCCCGAGGTTACCGGAATCGTATCCAAGAAGAGACACATTCTTACCTATAATGCAACACGCAAATGGAAGTCCGTACGATTTTCACGAACACGCGAACAGAGGCATATATGAAACGAGTCGAGCGCATATCCGATGCCTGGAGGACCCTCTCGATATTTCATAACTCGTGTAGCGCTTTCCGTTTTCAATATAACTGTGCGTCCCTGTGCTAGACTTCTGTCACTACCACGTTGTAACGCGACGTATCGTGCGAACAGAAAATGCATTCCTGCGGCAACGATATCCAGAAAAAGTTTCAGTTGCCTGGACTAGACTCAGCCGTAGCCAAACTTTTCGCATAAAGGGATCGTCAACACCGCCGCAACTTCGACGACGATATAGAACGTATGAAAAAGAAACACCGATCCCCAGTACTTTCGTTTTGATTCCATGTCTATCAGTTGATAAATTCGTAAATACGAAACGAAATGACTATGCAATTTTCATGAAACATGAATTCATGAATTGATCGATGTAAGCCTAAGCAACGTAAGATCTACGAATACGCAAAAGATTGATGCAATGCATGAATTGGGATTTGATTGATATACATTTCAGAATTTCATCTTCAATAAATATTCTAATAATGTTTTTGTTACGTTATTGTAACTTTTGAAAATTTGTTCCATAAATATGTAAATAAATAAGATAAATGCAAAATATTATGAAGAGGCAAAAGATGTACGTATAATACAGAAGAATACACGTGAACAGGAAAGACGACATTGAGGGGCCAGTTTAATGTTAGTTAAAGATCGTTAAATAGCTAAACCAAGTTTCCCAATCACGGGCGAGGGCTGGTGGTTGGTCGCGCGCCAAAGTCCATTAAAGCATTGGCGCGCGCGCGAGCAAATTATACGTCACAAGATGCCGCTTCGCGCACGTGGTTGCTTTCCGCAATTTCCAACGTCCGCGATCATGTATCGAGCGCCTATGCATACACAGAATCGACGTTAGCGAGGCGACGCAACTTTCAACCAATGGATACAAATGGTATCGACGCGAGACGACCCGAAACTTATTCGATCCGGCAGCTCGCGTCCAACAAAATTACCGGAAGTTGCTATGCGGAGGATACCACACTAGAACGACCCGGTTGTTGTTGCTAACCGATCTAGGATAAATCATTTCGACGGGCAAAGGGATAGTGTTACGTGAAAACGTGAAAAAAAAATGTAGGTAGATGAGAAATTTTTGGTAGTCCGCAGTGACATGTATTTCGCGTTATTCTATGTACATTCAGTGGTTTCAAATATGATTTGCTGAACAATTCAACATTTGAAAAGCATTTTCAGTCATGATACATATAAACGTACTAAATCAGAAATTACGTTCTGAAATAGACTACTATATAATTGAAGACTACTATATTATTAATTCAATATGAGAAAATCATTTGTTCACAACACGAATTAAATCAAATATATAGATGACGTTCTAATTGTCGTACGAAATCAAACTCCAACTTCAAATCTTACATTACGTGTATACAGCGCACATATAAATTCCATTCAAATGTTACAAAAGACTAAACTGTGCGAAATCGCCGGAATGATTACAGAATATCTTGGAATAAAAGCGAAAGGAAACAACGGGGAGCACGTTATCTGCGAAGTGAACCACAGTAATGGCGCGACGCGACGCACCGAGACAATCCAAAGTACTAGCAAGTACTTCGCCGATGCGGTTTGCGGTTAGCAGAACGTTGGATGTTGTAGTCAACTAATATGATGTAGCTACTACCTCGACTACTCTGTAACGGCTGAATCAGCCAGCAGCGCGTCCCGGGTAATGTTCGAATCGGGAATGGACTTGGCGACGAATTTCGCTACAATTCACGACGCGCCGCGCGTTAACGCGCGGTGGAAATAAAATTAGCACATAACGACGTGTTGTTGTTGTCGTCGCGCATCCGACGGTTTCGTAAATTGTATGATGAAAACGTGAAACGGTCTAACAAGCCACGTGAACAGTGGTTTCTTAATGAACTCGCGCATATGAAAATAGGCAAAAGGCGACAAGTTTCCGGGTGGCAGTCGAAAACATGCGAAATTAAGATAAATTATAAATTAGTAACTGCAGAGGACAGTTATAAATATTAAAACTGGATGAACGAAAAATGTAATAATAAATATTGAGTATAATAGAAGCTAATTGCATTTTGCGACGCGTCATATCAATATATAATATGCATGTACATGTACTGAATAGAAAGCAAATATTGTACTTTCTAATAAAATATAAGCACGTAGTAATCTGACTTTGTATGGAGTAAAAAGAAGGAAACTTACGTTATAAATTAGTTGTATTCGCGTAAGCTTTATGGGAGATTTAGGTAAACTCGAGTGAGCTTTAAATGACCTTTAAATGGTCTTCGAACGAGCTTGAAATGACTTTAATGACTCTTCAGCGAACTTCCTACTTCTCTGTTCATCACTTTTATGGAACATTACCGAGGCATGCGTTCATACATCATTTTTAATATTCTCTCCGCGCCACTTTAAACGAAAAAACAAATCGAATTGAACGAAGTCCTACACCGTTTTACAAAACAGAAAATACAAAAAATTGACAACGTCCAACAGTATCACCGTTAAAAACATTTTTCAGTCGTAACAACGGGAAAAAGAAACAAGAGGTAATTATTTCTTTTGTGCAAAGTC